CGTATTCATGTAGTTTATTCTTGGGCAAAGTTAATATGCTAGGGTACTCAGTATAAACACTGTAACCTCTTGAGGTAACACAATCATACATTATTCATCTTAAAATAGGTATGTACTTCTGTACATGACTTTTCTTTTTCGGTAGCGATTGTTGTTGTTGATCTTTTGATGAGGGTCTGCTATATTTCCTACTTTTTGGTGAAATTTCGTAAAGAGCAAAGAGTGGGGTATTGTAGAGGGTTTCGATTAGCAGGTAGCCTTAAACTTCGATAGGGAGTGTGTTGGAAACTCGCTTGATGTTCTTCTAGACCAACTATACTTTAACTTCATCAGCAGAAGCTATGCTTCTATTAAAATTTTTTGTACAAGGGTGCTACCTCCTGCCAGTTATCTTGTACAAGAATGCTTCTAACTTGCTTGCTAAATATACCATAGAGTCCGGGAAGAATAGAAAACCCTTGACCTCTGTAAAAACCATTACTTGTATAGTTATCTTTTCTACTTTTTCTCCAACAAGTTTCTGTTTTCGTTAGTCATAAGTTTGGTATGAGTAATCATCAGGGAGAGTTGGTTTATTTTTGTTTTAATATATTTAATAGAAAATATTATTATAGTACTATAGCACCATAGTGCTACCCTATATATAAATATAAAATTAATGTAACATATAAATCAAAACAATCTAATATTTACAAAAAATAAAACTTTTAATTAGGTTTAGATTAAAGTTGGGGTTAAGGTTAGGCAAAACATAGCTTAAACTAAAATTTTGCAAGGAATTTTTTTTATTAGAACACAAAAGATAGTTTTTTAATCAAAATTTTGAGATATAAATAATTTTTTAAAAATTCATTATTTTTGTTACACAAAAGGGTGATCTGCATATTACACCTGATCTTAAATTTTAATTGGTTACAACACCCTAGCACCATAATGCTATAGCACTATAAATTAAATCCCTATTTAATATATTAACTTTTAATGTATTTAATATACTAACTTTTTCTTTTTCTTTTAAGTTGTTAGGTTTTTTTATTTCTTTTAATATTTATAGTATAGATTTTTAGAATAAACTTTTAGTTTTTTTCCTGTTATATTTTTAATATTTTTTTCTACAATTATTGTTATTAATATAATTACCGGTGATTTTACCTTCGGTTAAAATTAGCAATATCTATTAATTAAAATATAAACCATTATACAGTCAGACCCTCTACCCCCTTAAATGCACGTCCTATGAAACACCTAAATTTTTATCATAAACTTATATATATATATAATATTAAATACTCTTGATATTTTTTTAGTATTTTTGTAAAAAATATTATAAAATATTTATTAAACTTCTTTAAAAAACTATTTGATTATTAAATATATTAAAATTTGACCCGACTAAATTATAAAAACCAATTAATTAATTTTGCATAATTATGTATAAATTACAAATATAAAGTTATAGCAAACCAGCTTTAACGTAAGTATATAATGATAAGCTATGAGTGTTAAAATTTAACTGTAAATAATGCAACTTTAAGAATAACTAACTATAATTATACAACTTCTAAGAATAACTATGTAATTAAATAAGTATATTGTAATATGAGTTAATATTTAGCATCAAACAATTTTGATTAATGTTGAAAGTGTACAATCTTTTATAATTAAATTATTGTGGCGACTGAAGCTGAGATTGGGATCTCTATTTAAATCTATAATATCTACTAAAATTTACTTGTACTCGTTTATTAACAAAGCTACCCTGAACCTTAATCTAACTCTAAAAAAAAAACTGACAAAAAGGCCAAAAAATTTTCTAAAATTTAATATTAAAATATTTCAAAACCTTAGCTTCAGCCGATCTCAGCTTCAGCTGCCACAATTATTAAGATTCAAAATTTTATGAATTAATTTTTTTTAATATATATACATACGTATCAGGTATCAAGAATTTATCTAACAAAAAGTACGCACAACCTTATTTCACAATTTTGACATAATGTCTCACCGAATCCAAGAAATATAACTAGTTGCTGAGCATTCATGAATTTTCTTTTACTAATGAATATATTGTCATTGACAAAGGTATAAAACACATAAAATATATCCACATACAAATTAAATTAGCAATTCTAATCTCACATGCTTCTCTAACAATCATAGAAGTGTATGGATAACTTGGCGGACAATCAAATGGTATATCGCCCATTTCGTTTCTTGTTAATAGAGTGTAGAGGGCTATTTTAAAATAAGATAATGTGATCACTTTAAAATAAGATGTAATTTGAGATGGTGAATATTCAGAAGAGATGTCGTACCTGGTACAATTAACCAACTCCATAAAAAGTGTCTGCGGCAGAAATTTTAAGTCATATTTGTGCTCCCAATGTATAGAAATAATTTTGCAGGAAGAATTTATTTACCTGTATCTTTCATATATTACATTGTCGATACACAGGCACGTACATCCGAATAAACTTACGACTACAGTATAGATTTGAAGTTTAATTTTGTTATTGTCTTTGTTTTTTTATATATAAAATGAATTGATGCATACCAACTGCAACGGCCATGAGAAACAGGTACCTGAATTAAAATTTGTTATAACAGCAATAAATCATGAAAATGATAATAGTCATTACACAAAACGCAAAATGAGAATACCTACATATATTCAATAAATGGATAATACGTGAGTTCACCATTTGTCGCATCAAATAAAGCGATTTTTTCAAGTTCTTGAATAGAAAAAAGGTTTTAAGATCAATTTTTTCGATTACGTGAATTATTATTCCTCGGTATGGCTTACCAAGCACAGGGCAAACAAATGTAAGTATAATACATGGTACCAGTAGTATTCCTACACAAGATATTCTGTAATAGTCGGGAAATTTATGACTATTTTCAGACATTTTGTTCGAAGGATCCATTTTTCAAGCGAATATATTAATGAATATTATGTATGTACTTTAATTGATCATAAATTCTTTACAAAAACTTGTATTTAACTTTAAGATGTTATGCAAGATATAATAAAGATCAAGATTCTTCAAAAAATGAATAAACGTAATGGAATACTTTCGTATTATGGCTCAGCTCAAATATATTTTCAACAAATATCAAAAATAAAAGCCCACTATTATTATTTACATTATGCAATTATTTCTGAGCCATTTGTACATAATTATGAAACATCGCGCATATACACGTATAAAAAACATTTGTTGAGTTTTTGACTAAATCTTAGTAACCACGCCACTCTGGGGCTTTTTGTGATTATTCTCCCCTCGTCAATCCCATCTACGTAACTTTTTTCATGTACGTACGTACGTACTCATCTCTACTAGACATATATCTATTTGATTTAGGTAATTATTTAATCTTAAATGTCAAAAATAATGCGTAAAATAAAAGTTTCGCTTTAAAATAAGTGCATGAAAGTTATGTTACATAGATGACGGGATAAATTAGTTATATCCTGTGTAGTTGGATATAAGCGATATAACTATTACTTATGATACATCTAAAATCAACCATTCGAATTTTCTTACATTACCCAATATAAAGGACATGTCCTTAAAGTAATTTCAATGGAACATTTATCATAGATGGTTTATAATCTAAAGCTTTGTAATTACTGCTACTGTAGCTTACCAATATCTTTTTTTTCTAATGTCTTTCATGATATTGAATCTTAAGAGTGAGCATGCTTAGATACAAGGCTTCACAGAGACGAAAAAAATGGATGCAATAATTTAAAACGACATACATACATATATAGTTAACACTGTACCGAGCCGATAGTTCTGAAAGAAGAGCATACCGTATTTTCTCAAATATGAAGTCAGCTCTTTTGCATCGAACGTCTATTACTATATAATAAACTTTTTCACAGTGAAAACAGTAAAATAATAGACGCGTTAATAAGATTACAATTCAACCATTTTGATACTTGAACGAAAGCATTAAGAGCACTTTTGCAAATAGATTTTAATAAATGCTTTACCAACAAGTCACGATTGTGGTAATTAATTCGTAGTGAAACTTTATGTACCATTAACAAAGTGGATGTGGATATATCATATTTAAGAAATTCTTCTATCTGCTAAGTTAAAATTTTTTTATTTATATGTAAAAAAAAGCTTTGGTTTAAAATAGTCGGAAATTTAATATTCTGTCTTCCCATGCGGTGTTTTTATAATAAAGCTCTTATTAATAAACATAAAAACAGTTTCGATGAAGCCAAACCAAGTGTATGATTTGACAAATCAACGACTTTTTAGAAATAAACGATGCTATTGGTCTTCATAATTAATAACATAAATGACTGAACAATGTTTAAATGTTTGCACAGAAAATACATTATTGCAGAAACAATAACATTATAATAGCCAGACAATGATTAATGCTTTTCCAGAAATTTTGAGCGAAGAATTTCGTTGGTCGAACAATAAACATTTGACACACTTAGTTATTCTAATAGACTAAAAGTCGAATGGAAAAGAATTGGCTTGATCATTGAAAATTTTACATCAAAGTTACATGTTATTTGGTGAGCTACACACAGATAGATAATAGATAATAGCGATAGTATTGATTACTCGCATATAATTTTAATATCCAATACAGAGTCAGAAGGCAGCGTTTTTTTATTTGTAGAACGCGACTATATTATCACCTAAATACCAGATTATATTATATCTTGTTGAGGTTACCTAAGGTCATTATAATGTCACCTCGCCAAGTCAACCATCCAACATACGTGATGACAACCGTTTTTTCCATTCTCTAAACAAGATTTGTTTAGCCGTATATAACTGATAATTTATCTTAATGTTTTTTGCAAAAATGCCAATTTATCGTTTTTTAAGCTTTTATAAACTTAATTTTCAAAGTAGAAAATGTCAAATAATTCTAAGGTAAATAGATTTTGTTCAAATCCGGATAACCAAATTTATATTTAAATTTTCATCAAACGATTATAAGTATACTAAACAGATTTATTAATATATCGCATTTTGTAATGCTTCAGATTGATAATATACTTTTAACCCATCGAAAATAGTTTGAATTAATTCTCCATTTAACACATTGTCCAATTCATGCAATGTCAAGTTGATCCTATGATCAGTTACGCGATTCTTATAACAAAAATCGTTAGTAATACTTAAAAAAAATGCATTACTTATATATATGTTGCATCTGGTGTAACGAGTACAGCGTGGATTAAAAGACTCCCCCTTTATAATACCCCTCACGATTTTCGGAGGCCTAGGATGTAAAGTACCCCGGGTACTAAGGACGGATTAATTGCACTTAGGAATGTAAAATACCCAAATACTAAAGATGGCTTAGTGCAACTTATACCCCCCACGCCGACCATAGTATCCCTTCGACTATAATACCCATATATACAGTAAAGTTACCCTGGGTATTTTAGTCCACGCTGTACAGTAGCTACTTCAAGTATCTAGTTATTCCAAATGCAACATATATATATATATATATATATATTGAGAGATTACCTGAGCAAAATTATATGTCCTAATCTTTTCTGATCTATCACCAGTTCCTACCTGGACAATTAAAAAGCGATTAGGGAATATCAATGTTTTGAAACCAAGAATTAAATTCACTATATAAACCTGTTGACGTCTTTTCTCACTTCTTTCTTGATGTAATTTGTTACGTTCCATATCATATAATCTTGCACGTAAAATCTGAAGTGCCTTTGCTTTGTTCTAAACAAAGCAGGGATAAGTACATCAATAAATCACGGTTGATTTGAGATCAGATAATACTGAGAATTTGAGCTATTTTAATTGTTTCTTGGGGAGCATTTTTTATTTTTATTTTTTTTTATTTTGTTTATTTTTTTTTAATTTTTTAGGGTAGGTTATAACTTAGGGTTAGGTTTAGTAAAAGTAGGTTTAGTAGGTTTAGTAGAATTGAATAGAGACCCAAATTTCAGTATTATCCGCGACAATAAACATTTTCCAATAAGTCAAAAACAAATATATATATATATTAATATACTTTTGGCTGTGATCTCTCATCTTGGATCGCAACGACACATCCAGTTGGAATGTGTGTTATTCTGACAGCACTAGAAGTTTTGTTTACATGTTGTCCTCCTTTACCACTTGCTCGATAATAATCTATACGAAGATCACTCTCTCGTAAATTCACATCAGCCTAAAAAATTTATAAAAATTAACCACCATAATATATTATATTATCAGCGAGAAGAAGAACAAAATACTTCAGTTGGTTGAGGCAATATAGCAACCGTCACTGTACTTGTGTGTACACGACCCGCTTTATCTGTAATAGGAACACGTTGAACACGATGTACACCAGATTCATATCTCAGATTTCCAAATACACCTTGGCCAGAAATTAAAGCCGTTGCTTCCTAGATTAGAATTATTTGAATTGCGGAATTATTAAAAGATGTAAGGGATTTTGTGCAATGTAGGTGACATGATTAATCATTAATAAAATATATTACTAATCAATTGATAAGATCCGATGTAAGAAATAAAAATTTATAATACCTTAATAGCGCCAATTGCAGATTCCTCAAAAATCGATAATCTCTCAAATTTCCATTTGCGCAAAAAAGCATAACGTTCATACATGTTTAATATATCCGCAGCAAATAATGCAGCTTCATCACCTCCTGAACCTGTTAATTTAAAATATAATAGATAAAATAAAGATGTCATGAACATAATAAAAAATTATTATAAAGCTAACCAGCACGTATTTCAAGGACAGCATTTCCTTGATCAGCAGAATCCTTGGGAATTAAAGCAGATACAACAGATTGTTCTAAATGTTTTAATTTCTCAATGATTTCTTGATAATCTTCCTGCATTAATTTCTTGAAATCCTCATCATCAGAGGATTCGTTAATCATTTTTTCAATCTCTAAAAGATCCTTCATTATTTTATGAAAGCAAATTATTCATTATATTTGGCAAAGAATATACGAATATAAATGAAATAAGATTGAAAATAAGAAATGATCTCTACACATTGAGCTTTTCGCATTTCCTGATAGGGAACAATTATGGAAGATATATCTGATAATTCTTTAGATTTACTTGCGAGAACATCAGGATCTATAGCTTTTGAAGACTTGAAAAAAAAAATCGTAGATTGAAGTTTAAAGGTTTGCCAAGTTGGAAGTTTTATGAAAATATCTTGTATAAATATCTTGTATAAATATCTTGTATAAATATCTTGTATAAATATTTAGTCACCTGATTATCAAGTTCTTTTGACAGAACAGAGTGACGAACTATCAAATTTTCTAGCCTTTCTCGAATTTTACTATTTAATAAAGAATCTTTGAATAATAATTCTTGAGTATTAGGCACTATTTAAAACATTGATTAAAATAACGATGTTAACTAGATGACTAAATAAATATATAATATATACATGCATTTAACAAATAATAATAATAATATATAATAATAATAAACCTGAAGAAAAACAGCGTTTTGGTATAAAATTAGATGTAATAGGCAAACGATTCAAATGTTTAAAGCGTAAAGGGATACTAGGATGTGATAAGATTAGATAAGATAGGGGTTTTTGAAGCGGAAATAGTCGAGACTTCATTATAAAGTTAAAAAAATTTGCTGAGATGAATTAGCCTCCCGATCACCATATTGAGGTCACGGGAATAATTATTATTAACGTTAACAGTTAACGTCAATGAATCACACACCGACCTACTGTATTGAACATACCAATACAGTTCAAATGTTTTCTAAGTGCAGTTTTTTTTGAATGTCCTAAAAAATGAAACAATCGGACATTGTAACATTCCAACCCTGTCGAAAAATCATTTAAATCTAACGCTAACAAAGTCAGAATTAAAGTCAGAATTAAAGTCAGAATTAAGGGGATGGAGAAATCAGCTGACTTTTCGTGATAAGGGGTTATCGTTATTGTGCCATAGTCCGGTTCACTCCAAGTTAATAATCGAAGGTTCGAATAACGTTATGTGTGATACATATCTCTGATAAATCCCCCAAGATTACGTATTCAGTAACGATATCGATATTTAAGTATTTGATCATTATTTATCTTACTTCTTTTTATCGTTAAAAAGTATCAATATTTTATAAGGCTGGAGCTTTTCATGTGAAAATTGTAATAAATAACGTAAATTACAGAATTAGCAGCTTTTATTGTTTTATCTCTCAATCACTCAATCTCCCTATCGCTCTATCCCTATCGTTATCTTTATCTACTTTCGGTATCGCTATAACGATATAACTAAAACATTTCATATCTACGTGAGGGCGTAGAGCAAGGTAGTATCAACAACCAGGCAAACCAGTTAATTTGTTTACGCTTCAATGAATCCCGTGTAACATCTAATGCAGGTAAATTTATCGATTACGGTTAAAAGTTCCGAATTTTTTGATATCTTTGACTGCACAACCTACTTTATCCTCTTTCCTTGGAAAGAAGGT